AATTTGATGACTTTTGCAGGAAAGAAGGCATCAAAAGACAGTTCACAGTGGCAAACACTCCTCAATAAAATGGAGTGGCAGAGCGGATGAACAAAACCTTGTTAGAAAGAACAAGAGCAATGTTGAGGGATGCAGGCCTAGAAAAATCATTATGGGCAGAAGCAGTCAATACCGCCTGTTATTTGGTGAATCGAGCTCCATCAACTACAATAGAGCTGAAGACACCAATGGAGATGTGGACTGGTAAACCAACTGAATATTTAAACCTCCATGTATTTGGAAGTATTGTGTACGTGATGTACAACGCCCAAGAAATTTCAAAGTTGGATCCAAAATCCAGGAAATGAAAATTCTTGGGGTATGCTAATGGAGTAAAGGGGTATCGTTTGTGGGATCCCACTGCCCGCAAAGTGATCATTAGCAGGGATGTTATCTTTGTAGAAGATAAACTACAAAGAAAAGAAGACGATGATAGCACTGAAAAGTCAGAGACTATACAGATACATGTGGAAAAAGAGTTTGAACAAGGAGATTCTTCTGAAGCAGAACCAACACATGATGAACAAGAACCAGAGAGTTCTGAAGTTCCAATAACTCGTCAATCAGATCGTGTGAGAAGACGTCCCAATTGGCACTCAGATTATGTTATAGAAGGTAATATTGCATATTGTCTTTTAATAGAGGACGGTGAGCCATCAACATACCAGGAGGTAATAAACAGCTCAGATGCTTCATTGTGGATGATGGCGATGCAAGAAGAAATTGAATTCCTTCATAAAAATAATACATGGGACCTTGTGCCACTACCACAAGGAAGGAAGCCAATTGGTAACAAATGGGTCTTCAAAATCAAGCGAAATGGTGATGATCAAGTTGAGAGGTATCGTGCAAGACTAGTGGTCAAAGGATATGCTCAAAAAGAAGATATTGATTTCAATGAAATATTTTATTCTGTGGTTCGACTAATAACAGTTCGAGTAGTTTTGGCAATGTGTTCTATATTGAACTTACATCTAGAGCAGCTAGATGTTAAAACATCTTTTCTTCATGGAAATCTTGAAGAAAATTTGCATGCTCCAGCCTGAAGGTTTTGAAGAAAAAGAAAAGAAGAACTTGGTTTGCAGGTTGAACAAATCTCTGTACGGCTAAAGCAGGCGCCAAGGTGTTGGTATAAGAGATTTGATTCCTTCAGTATGTGCCTTGGATACAATAGACTTAATGTAGACCCTTGTGCTTATTTCAAGAGGTCTGGTGATAACAATTTTGTTATATTACTGTTGTATATGGATGACATATTGGTTGCAGGACCCAACAAAGATCATATTAAAGAATTGAAGGCACAACTGGCTAGGGAATTTGAAATGAAGAACTTGGGATTAGAAAACAAGATTCTAGGGATACAAATTCACCAAGACAGAAGTAATATGAAGATTTGGCTTTCACAAAAGAATTACTTAAAGAAGATCTTGTCACGATTCAACATGCAAGATTGTAAGCCAATTTCTACCCCTCTTCCTATTAACTTCAAATTATCCTCCAGTATGAGTCCTAGCAGTGAAGAAGAGAGGATGGAGATGTCTCGAGTACCGTATGCATCGGCAGTGGGAAGTTTAATGTTCGCTATGATATGCAAAAGACCAGACATTGCACAAGCAGTAGGAGTGGTTAGTCGGTACATGGCGAATCCAGGAAAAAAGCATTGGAATACAGTAAAGAGGATCCTGAGATACATCAAAGGGACCTCAAATGTTGCATTATGTTACGGAGGATCAAATTTACTTATCAATGGGTATGTTGATTCTGACTATGCAGGGGATTTGGATAAAAGCAAATCTACTACATGATATGTGTTTAAATTCGTTGGTGGAGCTGTAAGATGGGTTTCAAAATTACAGTCAGTTGTGCCTACATCCACAACAGAAGCAGAATATGTAACAGCTACACAAGCCAGTAAAAAAGCAATTTGGTTGAAGATGCTATTGGAGGAGCTTGGGCACAATCAAGAGTATGTTCTCAGTTTTGTGACAATCAAAGCGCCTTGTATCTAGCAAGGAATCCAGCATTTCATTCAAGGAAAAAGCACATACAAGTTCAATACCATTTCATTCGTGAAAAGGTGGAAGAATGGACGGTAGATATGCAGAAGATCCATACCAAAGACAACATAGCAGATTTCATGACAAAGGCGATCAACGCTGATAAATTTACCTGGTGTAGATCCTCTTGTAGCCTGTTAGAAACGTAAGCAACATGAAGGTACAAGGTAGAAACAATGGTGTGAAGATATGATTATTCTAATCAAATCTTCAAGTGGGAGATTATTAGTTATCATGCAAAATTATTAGTTGTCATACAACTAATAATAGTTGTATAATGCATAATAATGGTTCATAATGCATTGTAAGTTGACAACAATAATGGTTAATAGTTGGCACTAATAATGGTTGAAAAGTGACATGACAAAATCTCACATTAAGTCATTTTAATTTAGGGTATTTTCAAGATTAGTCCTTAAAGCTTCTACTATAAATACCCTAGCTCATTTAGCTTCAAAACCATCCCAAAGCATTCTAGCTTTCTTCCAATACTAGAGAGAATTTAGAGAGTTTCTTGAGAGTTGTTTTCTCCTTTTTTTTCAAGAGAGAATTATCATTGTTTTCTCCTTGGTAGATTGAGAGAATTTGTAATTCCTATTTTCTTATAGTGAAATTCTTCTACCGTTGCCCATGGTTTTTACCCTATATTATTTAGGGGTTTTCCACATAAATTTTATCTCTTTTATCTTCATTTTTATTTTCTCAAATTATCAGTTGTGATTTTTCTTTATTCGATAGCCATCTTCCGCAACAGATAAGGCTGAAGCATACTATATCGATCCAATGTAATTGTCGTCACCGTTTTTCGTCCGAGTGAGAGAAAAAACTAATACGATTTGGAGTTTTTTTTTTAAAGATTTTGAAATGTAAGGAGTCGACACCAATCATTTTAAGGTGTGATTGGAACACCAAAAATCGCATAATTTTAATAAAATATTTTATTTTATAAAAAATATCAAATTTGGGTCTGCGAAAAATCATAACACTACAACAAATTTGTCAATTTATGACAAAATTTCTATATGACGTTACGTAGGTGTGTATTCGGTTCGTTCGGATTTTTACTAAAAATTGAACCGAACCGAAATAAGCGAGTTTTTAAAATTTAAACCGAAACCGAATGGTTAAAAAATCAAAATATGTGAAACCGATTTTTTCAGTTTGGTTCGATAATTCAGGTTTTCATAAACAGGAAACATTTTTTTTTAAATCAATCACAAATGTCCCAATACAACCCATGTACAAAACCTAAACCCATCAGACCCAATACTTTAACCAATAAACCCAAACAAAGCCGATTTAGCATTTACCCATTACATCAAATTCATCTAATCCCACTACCGATTTACAATCAAAACCCAGGACAGACTGAAACCGAAAATTAGCTAAAAGGGTGCATGCTCGACGTTTTCAAATAAAAGGGTTTATTATTATAAAAAAATAGTTTTAGCACTACAAAATCAATTATTTGTCACTTATTTTTATCTCTCTTTTTTAAATGACGATTTTAAAAGATGTCATGAAATTATGTCACTTAATGTTAAAAAGTAAGATAATCTTACAATCTTATTAAATAAAGCAATTTATAGAGTTTATTTTATTGACATTATTCTATATTAGATTATCTCACATTCAAAGTTTTTTAGATGAAGAATCAATTTTTTAAGTTAACAAGAGGGTTTCACCCTTAATAAGATAATATAATAACCGAACATTTACTTTTTTTTTGTTCTTAAATTTTAAGTGAAGAATCACTTTTTTTAGGTTTCACTTTCGGGATATACTTTCAGTTTAAAATCGTCAAAATTGGCTCTCTAATAAGTTAAGACAAACCCCTTAAGATAATTTTAAAATAAAAGGATATCACCCTTAATCTAATTATTTGATATTAGTCGAGTTATACACACGAGGTTTCATACAATTTAATCAAAATAAAACCTAAGACCTGTATGCACCAAGGTTTTTTATTAATGATAATATTAACGGTTTATACCCTGATAAAAAGGTACCTACAATATGCATATATACAGTAGAGTAATGCAATAATGTATGGAATAAATATTGTTTAATATATAAAACATCCTTTGCGTTACATATATATATTTGGCATATTATACTTTCACAAAACAGCAACGCGTATCCAAGTACATGGTTTGATACACATACATACATAACATAACGAGGGTTAATGGATTTAATATAAAATATGCGAACATGGAATATCGAAATGCAATAACAAAGACTTATCAAAACATGAAAACGAGTGATCACAACGAAAAAATGGTAACTTTTAGAACCAAATAACAAAACCATCAAATATCATGGCAACAAAAGCGAATAATGTGAAACATACATATCAAGATGGAAATAAACCCCTAAATAACAAGCTGGTCTAAGATGAATACTGTTAAAATAATATATTAAATGCAAAAATCCCAATAAAGGAGGCAAATACACATAACAGGACAAAAATGAAAGAGTTTAAAAAGTGAAGCTCAAAACTGAAAAACTGAAAATTCATACAATTGCTGAATCACAATGTTACAAAAGATTGGACCTTTCACATGAAATTATCCCATACTTTCCAAAATTTGGACTTTTCCAAACGATCACGTTTTAAGGCCTGTCCCATGGGTTTGTTTAGGTTTAATTAAAACCTAATCACATTTAGAGACCCCCTATCTCCTTGCGCCATTTCTATCTACTTCCCATCTCCTATTCTCTTCTTTCTTTACTCTTCTTCCCACCCCAAACGAAACAAAATGGCCACTGTGGCTCTCTATTGCTCAAGGCCCCCCAACGATGAAAAGAAACCTACTGACGAAGAAGAAAGGTAAATTTTTTTCATTTGGTTTTTTCATTCCTATGGACATGGTTTCATTTCTAAAAGCTCCTAAAAGCTACAGTAAAAATCAATGTAAAATATAACCCTCATGCAAGAGTATATTAGGAATGAATTATGTTGTTGTTATCATATCCTTGGTTTCCTTTTCATTCGTTTAGTGGATCAGCCTCGGGGTCCCTTTCCTTCATCGCCGACCAATTTTCGATCTTTGGTTTTTCTGATATTGCCATCAGTCGTCTTTGCAAGTTGGAAGCGACGAAGAGGAAGATCGAGCACATGCTGAACATGACAGTGATGGGGAATGCATCAACGTTATACAGCACGATGCAGACAAAGATGTTGAGAGGAATGCGGAAGAAGTTCATAATGGTGCTCTTAGCTTCCTCGGGGATGTATTGGGATCTCATTTGCATAATGGATGGCCAGAATATTCCCACACAAGCCTCGAAAGTACAGAAGCCAAGAAGCTGAAGACAACCTGCGAACGAGATGCTTCCGCCTTTCACTTTGGAAGGTGCTACCAAGAAATTGGTTACAATCGGAAGAATTAGAGAAACAGAGGAAACCACGAAAACGATCTGCATGTAACTTTCTACCCTCAGTGATGAGCGAGCCATCAATCGAGATGCAAGGGAGCTTCCCAACATCGCCAACATGAATGTGGCAAAATGAAACCGTGAGGAATCTCTTCTTCGTTGGGGCTCAAAGCAGGAGTCCAGAGGAAGACAAATGTATACATTGAACCTTCAAACAGAGACTGGATGGCACCCAGCAAAGCAATTTTTTCATCAGAAGCTATTGCTACAGCAGCGCCCCTGAACTGGGCCGGCAGGTCCTTGTTTTCTGAAGGGTCTCCAAAATTTTCTGTCCATGATTAAAAAATTAGGGTATTACAATAGTTTTATTATTTTTATAATTTTTTTTGTTTTGATTCAGATTGCAGTAGTACAAATGTTTCTTCAACTTTAATTTGCAGGTAATTGTTTGTTTTATTTGAAATTTATTTTCTTGCCTGTTAAATATGTTTTTTTCGATATTGTTGAATTCATATGGTTTAGGGTTAGTTTTATTATTCGATTTCTGATTTTTTGCTAAATGTTGTTGCTTTTTACAAAATAATTGTTAGTTTTTTCTTTTAAATTTTTGCTAAACGCTACTGTCTTTTACAAAATAATTGTTAGTTTTTTCTTTTAAATTTTGCTAAACGTTGCTACTCTTTACAAAATAATTGTTAGTTTTTTCTTTTAAATTTTGTTAAACGTTGCTGCTTTTATTATTCGATATTGTGCAATCTGATTGGAAAGCTCATTCAAAAACATGTGCATGCCTTGTTTCCTTTTCTCATTGATAATCCTTCATTTAATAAATAAATGTTGTTGATGTAAAATTTCACCTTCACAAGGTATGCTCAAACTCTGCTATGTTTTATGCTTCCTTTACGTGCATGTGTTTGTGAATTCTGAATTTATTTCCTTCTTTTTTATTATGTTAATTTATTTACATTTCCATTTAAACTGATTGAAAATATTGTTATTAGCATCATTTTAGTGTAAGTTTGCAAAATTCTGCAATTTAGCATAATTATCAATGTAGTTGGATTGCAAACGAATCATTCTCTCAGTGTAACCTAACTGTTGTGTTTATGAATTAAGTTGTAGAATGCTCTGCCAGTGGAGAGCAGTTGTGCTATAATAATTGATGATTTTGGTTGTGGTTTAATTCACCTTTGCAATTCCCTTTAATATCTAAGAGTAACTGATTGCAAAAGCTGGTGAAAGTATTTATAATTTTTTTATATGTTTTAGGATGGCACCAGGTTTGGATTGGATTGAGATTGAGATTGCTACAACGAAATATTCCACAAGTCATATTATTATCTTATTATTTTTATTTTCTGTAAACATATAAATATTTTTATATTTATAGAAATGAAATTATTATGTATTTAGTGAAATATTTGTTTAAATCTTATTATTTTGCAATAAGTGAACTATTTTATTTTTTATTTAGATTTGTATATGTCGGAACCGTCTTTCGGTTGGGCCCCAGAATTGAGTTTCGACTTGAATAATTGGGTTAGAGTCGTCACCGACCATTTTAAAACATTTAGGTAGGTTGGACACCATCTTACCTGATCTGCATTTTACCAGAAATATGTCAGGTTCGAGAGTCGGTTACGGTCAAGGAAGGATTAACACCCTTGAACCACCCTTTCGGTACCAATTAATTTGTCGGTTGTCTTTAATTGCGAAAATTAAGAATTTAAATTTAAATTTAAAAATCCTATTCGAATAATTACCTTTGATCGATTGAAATTACCCCTTTTGAATGTTCTTGGCTCTGGTGAACGAAAATTGCCTTCTTCGAATAGAAAGGTCAGGTTTTTTACTTGGCTCTTTGTTTCCTTCTTTGTATTTGAGAAATGATTTCTAGTTTTCTCCAATGGATCCCCCCGTTCTCTCTTTTTTTAACTTCGAATGAATCTAGTACCCCTTTTTTATTTTTTTTGGTTTTCGTTCGAGTCTTCCTCTGTTCTTCCCATGATTTTTCGTGTTTCTGTTTCTCTCGTTTCTTCTCTGTATTTGTCTCGTAATATTTTTCTGTCAATCGTGTCCCCCTTGTGCTCGGTTTACATCAATTTATAAGTAAAAAAAAATCCTATTTTTAGGTTATATTGAGTGTTTGATTCCGAGTATAACATTGATGCTTGTTGTTTGTTGGCTTGCCTTTCTTGCGCCGGACGTTGCGGAGATGAGAAACCTGATCGTTGGGGTGTACTGCCGTGAAAAGTGGCGCAGGGGAGAGAAGGGAGCATGTGCCGCTTAAGAGATAGGGTTAGGGTTTCAACAACCCTAACCGATGTGGGTCACTCCAGCAGGCCAGTTCTGAATGCTCCAGGTTAGCTTCGGGTTGAGGACTTGGATCCGGGCTGCGCGTGTTGTTGGGTCCACTGTTGGACTACGCACGTGTTCTTTATTTGTAATGGGCTTAGGGTCTGATCCTGAAGACAAAACGAAAATAAATAAAAAAATTAATATATGTTTATTATAATTATAGTATATAATATAATATTCATATCATATGATACATATACTATATATTATAATAAAAAATACATACGCAAATGAGTGTCTACAGTATAAATAATTTTATTTTATTTTATATTGTCATTAAAAATGTCATAGAATATAAATTATTTTTGTTTTGCTACAATATCTCTTTCGTCATGTATAAGTTGATTTTAATGCATTATTTGTGAAAATATAAATTATCAATAACGAAATCTTATTTAATTTAGTGACGTAACCAACTGTCATAGAATATAAATTATAAAATGACGTTATTCATAAACGTCATTCATAATATTATTAGGTAACATTTATATTATGTCACTAAAAATGTGACAATATCTCTTTCGTCACATATAGGTTGATTTTAATGTATTATCCATGACGCTATAAATAATCAATAACGAAATTTTACATAATTTAATGACATAATTAGTTGTCATTGAATATTAATTATATAGTGACGTTATATATAAATGTCAATCATGCTACTATTAGGTGACGATATACTATGTTACTAACAATGTGACAATTTTCTGTTCGTCGCGTATACAATGAAATTATTGTGTTATTGGTGACAATATTATTTATTAATGACGAAAATGTATATCATTTGGTGACAAAAGTAATTATAACTGAATGCAAATTAAAATGTGACGTTATCCATTAGTGTCACTATATATTTAACAATATATGATGATAACACATACATCGTCGCTTTTGACATTTAGTGACACACCTAGGGTGACGATCTTCGTGACATTGACTTTTACATCACAAAATACATCTAGTGACATAAATTAAGGTTTTAGTGACAATAACCTAGATGTCACTAATAAGAAAATTTGTTGTAGTGTAAATCGTGTTCAGAAGTCGGTTACGCGTGGGGAAGGATTAGTACCCCCACAGCGCCCAGAAATTGGTACCTAGTTGATTATCCTATTTTGAAATTTGGAAATTTTGGTTACCCTCTTGGTTTCTGGACTTTGCCCTAACTAATCCGGACAGACCCACATCGCACACTTGGCTTTGATGGGTGAATCTCCCAATGAATATTTTCTGCATAAACAAAGACTCAAACTCGAGACCTGTTTAAATAATATCAAGTTGCTTACCACTTGAACCAACCTCGTTGGTTAACAAATTAAACTTTAATATTAAATTATAATTTAACATATAATTAATATAATTATTATATGACTTAATACAAAAATAAGTGCCTAAAGAATGCCTCGAAAAATGTTTTAGTTCCTAAAGAATTTTTCGTTAAAAATAGGTGCCTAAAGTTTTCTCAATTATATTTTTAAGTGCCTACCGTTAAAAAATCGTTAAGTGATACGTGTCACATTTATATTTTTTAAAATAAAATACTATTTAACAATATTTAAAAAAAAATCTAGACATGACATGTGTCACTTAACATTTTTTCAACGGTAAGCACCTAAAAGTGTAACAGAGAAAACTTTAGGCACATATTTTTAGCGAAAAATTCTTTAGGCACCAAAAGTTAATTTTGAGTATAGTTTAGGCACTTATGCAATACTCTAAACCAGTACGACACACAGTTGACCAATTAGAATGCCAAACGGAACCAACAGAGTGGCTAACAAAAATTTTCTTAACTTTTCTTAAATTAAAAAATTCCTTTGAAAATACTCATAATAAAATAATTAACAACAATTATATAAAATATTTACATCAGGAGCTCCTAAAATAATTAAATCAAAATATATAGACTACTTTAAAATGAGTTACGACTCGAATATACAAAAAGAAAGGGATCTACAAATATACATGCCCTCTAAAAGATAATCTTGAGGAGTACTCTACATTGAATATCGGCTTGGACCTCGGCTGAACAAAAAGCTCTTCAACTGCTTCTCCTACTAACCTTCTTAAGAAAACAAATTCCAAACACTGAGCTCACTAGCCTAGTGTCACACTAACAACTAAGTCATACTAAGAGTGCTCAATAGATGCTCAAGCTAACTAGTAAAATGCAACAGTGAGTATACTCGTATACTGCACTCTCTACTCTACGGTAGACATCATGGTGCGGCTGAGGGTTGTGCATCTTGGAGCTCACGCACCCCTTTAGTCTACTGAGGATGAGGCCTTGAATATCTACATCGGACACAACACCATCAACTAACCCACCCCTCATGAGTTTTGGGCCTCAGCCCTAGTTAGTCAGTTTAAAGTGCCTCGCGCACTACCTAAGGATATTCGGACTGATTTTATTGCTCGATGCTAGTATCATTTACTAAAGTGACCCAGGTGTCCTAATCGTTCCCCGATTGCCCGATTGTACAAACAATGCTAGTTTTATTTGATCCTAACAGTTACCGTTTTTATTATTCTAATATAAATTATTGTTATCACTTGGAGTCTTATCTGCTATTAATCTGAGTATGTGGGGTACCTCGAGACTGATTCCTTAATCCTTGGAATAATTATCCAAAAATGTTTTGTGGGTATCGATACTAACCCTTCAGTACCAATAATAAACCTTTGTTATTGATACCCACCTACTGGTATCTATAGCCCCAGACTGATATAAGTTATTTGGGTAAGGTAGTATCGATACTCTACTGAGTATCGATACTCTGGTGTTGGAGTATCGATACTTGATTGAGTATCAATACCAAAATTAGGTTCGATGTTTTGAAAAATACCTAGTATTGATGCCTCTATAGAGAGTATCGATAATACATCTTTAATATTGTTTAGGTTTTGCCTTAAAGATGAATAGTATTGATACCATCGCTACAAAGTGCCCTGGTTTGGCACGAAAACACCTAACTAG